AGCGCGTGACCGAGGAATAGGAAGGGGCACGGTGCGGGGAGCTGGGCCGGCCAGGCTGGTTGAGGTCCAGGGGGCAGGGGGTTCTCTCTCTCCTCTGCTTTTCCTTTTCTCTTTTTTTCTTTTTGTTTAATAAACAGAGAAAGAAAGGAAGTTAATTGGGCATCCAAATATCTTAAATAAATTATGGAACTGGGCCCATAAAATCCAAGGCATTTTTAGCCAGTGCCACAAAAAGTTTGGAGGCCAGGGGATGTTATTTACATTTTTCACAATTAAAATGACATTCAAAAATGCTGAAGTTGTAAGAAATAATTGCTACTGTCCATCTTAGCTCAATGGTGATGTTGTTTTCCTTAACAATTAAATGTTATGGAATTTTGGCTAAATGATGAACATTTTGCTAGCAAGTTTTGTGCAACTTCAAATTTCACTTTGAATTTGAATAGAATTCAGAGAAGGGACTTGAGTTGAGATATCATCCCAACATGATTAAGCTTTGTAAAACAAGATGACTTGGCACTGATCATAAGGGATTACTATAGTGTGATGCTGGAGATGTTACATCATCGATCAATTCTGAAACCATGTTCATGTTTGTCGTTCTAGTTTGTACTGACGGCTTCATAGAGATAAGCCTCGGGATCCACGGGTCCCTCCAGACCGAGACCGCCGTACCATCACCAATTATCTTGATCAAACCAGCCTCCAATGCTTCCCTGCCTGCCAGAATAGCTCGCCAGGTAGCCGAAGCATGCGGGTGCGCTCTAGCGCCCAGGAAGTCGGTATTCGGGAAGTACTTACCGTTGAGCACTCGCGCACAAAGCAAAGTCGGACTCGTGATAAGTCTCCATCCGTGCTTTCCGAGGAGAGATAGGTTGAAGAGCTGCAGGTCTCTGAATCCCATCCATCCCTTCACTTTCGGGGTTGCAAGTGTGTCCCAGTCAAGCCAATGCAGAGATCAATGGTCAAGGGAACTAATCCACCAGTATCTCACCATGCATGAGGTGATTACCTTGCAAACTCATTTAGAAAATTTGAAATAGCTCATAGAGAATGTTGGGATCGCCTGAGCCACTAACTTCAGGCACACCTCTCTTCCCGCACATGAAATGCGCTCCGTGCCTCCTTGCAACTGACTTCGGATCCTCCCTCTAAGATGTTCAAAGGTGCCACTTGTTATCCGCCCCGTTGTAGTAGGCAAACCAAGGTATCTCTCGTTGAAAGCCTCGACCAAAATGCCAAGGATAGCTTTCAAACTTTGTCGAACCGGATCGCTTGTGTTCGGACTAAAAAAGATGGAGCTTTTTTCTCGGTTCGAACATTATCTAGAGCAGTCATCATAGATCCGTAGAACACGATTCAACCTTTGAGCATTATCCTCCTTTGCATTCATAAAGATGAGGCTGTCGTCTGCAAAAAGGAGATGATTGATCCAAGGTGAATTATTGCTCACTCTGATTCCTCTATCCACTTGAGCACCGCCCAAGTGCTTTAATAGTGTTGTAAACCCTTCAGCTCAAAGTAAGAACAAAGAAGGTGAATAAGGGTCACCCTGGCATAGACCCCTAGATGGTGTGAAGTAAGGTAGCAGCTCCCCATTCACATGTACAGTAAACCTGACAGAAGTCACACATTTCATTGTCAGTCTAACAAAACTTGAGCTGAAAACCAACCTTAACATGATAGCTTCCAGATAATGCCATTCAACCCGGTCATAAGCTTTCATCATGTCAAGCTTGACAGCACACACATGAATTTTTCCCTTCTTCCTTCTTCTCATCGCATGCATGCTCTTGCAAGCAATTAAAACATTATTAGTGATGAGTCTGTTAGGAATAAAGGCAATTTTCTCTTCACTTATAATTTCTCCGAGGAACTCCCTAGTTCTGTTAGAGATGCATTTGGAGGCAATCTTATACAAAACAGAACATAATGAGATTGGCCTATATTGGGAAATACGCTACAAGTATCTGACTTTGGGAACGAGCGTTATGGACGTGTCATTCATACCCACTGGCAAATCCCCACCATTCAAAAAATCCAGCACAACCGACACTATGTCTTCTTTGAGAAGATCCCAGTGCCGCTGAAAAAAGCCCGCCATGAAACCATCCACCCCTGGTGCTTTGGATGGGGCCATCTGGAACAGGGTTGTCCGCACCTCATCGGTTGTAAACATTTTGTCGAGGTGCTCATTCATGAGCGGCGTCACCTTGGGTGGAACTAGGTTGAGCAGCTCATCCATGGTCTTAAAACCCTGAGAGGTATATAGTGCTTCATAAAAGCCTTGAACTTCTGCATGATTTTCTTCAATTGTTTGACAGGTTGAGCCGCCGGCTCTCTCCAAGCACTCAATTTTGTTCATACGTTTTCTTTGAGCTGCTTGAGCATGAAAGTATCCCGTATTACGGTCCCCCTTCTAGAGCCACAAGACTCTGGAATGTTGCCGCACCCAGATCTCCTCCTGGCGGAGGGCTTCATGCAACTGTTTTCCCACCGCGCGCTCTTCTTCAGTTGGACTGTGCCCCGTGGAGCGTGCTCGACGGCGATCAAGTTTGGCTCGCAGCTTCTTAACTTTGCTTGTTAGGTTCCTGAATTCTTTCGCCGCCCAGCTGGTCAGCACATGCTGCATAGCGCCTAGGGTATCTGCCACTCCGGCCAAACCCTGCTGTCCAGCACCCTTTTGCCATTGTTGAAGCACAAGCTGGTCGTAATCAACATGCGTTTGCCAGACATCCTCATATCGGAACTGCCTAGCAGTTCTTCCACCTGCGGCGGCCAAGTTTTCCCTTAGATATACCATCACAAAGCAATGATCAGACTCCATGGTACCAATATGCCGAATGCGTGTGTTAGGAAACTTGTGTATGAACTACAGGTTGCCAAGCCCGCGGTCCAGCCTGGCTTTCACATTTGCATCTCCTTGTTGTCCATTATCCCATGTATGCTCCGCTCTTGACCAGCCAAGGTCACAAAGCGAGCAGTCATCAACTGCCTCTCTAAACGCCCTCATTTGATATTCAGACCGATCCGTGCGCGAGAAATGCTCAGATGCCATCAAGGTTTCATTGAAATCACCAACACAAAGCCACGCATCATGTTGTATTCCAAAGAGAGTTCGAAGAAATTTCCAACTATGTTGTCGATCCTCCACTTTTGGAGCTCCATAAAGCCCCTTGACCCTCCACACTTGCGAGGTTTGGGTCTTTTTTCTAACCACCACATCAATATGGCATGAGCTATAGTTTTTCAGTTCCACATCAAGCTCATCCTTCCAGAACAAACCAATACCACCACTAAGACCAGTACTGTTCACTGCAAAACATCCCGCAAAACCCAAGAGATTCTGCAAGCTCTCCACTCTTTTTGCGAGATTTTTGTCTCCATCAAAAACAAGAGACAGGGCCCTTCCTGCTTCACCACACTGCGAAGCTCTCAAACTGTCGATGGGTTCCCAAGCCCTCGACAGTTCCAGCTTAAGCAACTCATCGGTCCTGGCAGGGCTGACTCGCAGTCGCTGCCATAGAATCTGAGTTATTCGGGGTAGATTTCTTTTTTCTTTGGCTCCCTCTCAGTTTTCAAACCATCTGGTGAGTCTCCAAGAGAAGCATTCTCCTTACTTGATCCACCCTCAGTCTGATGGGGGCATTGGTTAGAAGGGGCCGATCCACCCTTCTATACATCTGAGTTTGAGGTACTCCTTTTCTCTTTTGTTGGTTTTGCGATTACTTGACCGGGGACGTAACCTCAGCTGTACTCTTTCCTGTTGTGCTTGAATTGCGTGTTTCTGCTTTGCTCTTTGGGGCAGCAGAATTATCCCTCGCCGAACTCGAGCTATCCCCTGTCCCATCCTTTTTCCGCTCATCCTATGCACGCAGGCCCTTCCCGAACGGGAGATCTCCATTCTCATCTCGTGTTCCAGGAGTAGTGCAGACAAGGTCTGAATGACCCAACTTGCCACATGAAAAGCAGAAGTGTGGTACATTCTGGTAGACAATATCATATGGGTCCATACACTGCCTCCTCTTTGATTCTATTAGGATCCATCTCCTCAAGGGCTTGTCCACATCCATGGTGACTCTTGCCCTTAGGTAGCCGGCTGCATGATCAAAGTTGTTGCCCTTTTGTCTATCTGGTGTGCAATCGCAGTACTCCACGGTTCAACCCGAAGATTGAACGGGAGGTTCAGCACTCGAGCCCATAGTTGCAGTTTATCAAACTTTAACTTAGATGGTCGCATGCACTCATCAAATTCGGACAATATCACCGCATTCTTGCTGACATGCCATGGTGATCCCTTCCACACACGATCCCGGTCCCTCTGACATGCAAATTCTGCCACAAACATATATTCCCGTGAAGGTTTGAACGGTAAACCCTTAGGGTTCCCCCATGCCGGCCGAAGCGCACTGGAGATCGTCTGGATGTGGAGCGTATGTCGATGTAGCACTTTTCCGGCCAGCATCCACTTCTCTTGCGTTCCCTCCTCTAGATCGTCAAGCACTAGCGGGGTCGCCTCCTCATCGGTTATCTCCATCTTGCCTAGCGCCTCCGCCAGTTTTGCCCTCGCCGTCCTGGGCGAGAGCGCCTCCTTTTCTTGCCGCCGATCAGCAGGCAAGGCCATCGCTGATCCGCAAACCAAAGTTCGCGCCCCGCCGATCAGATCGGCGCGCGCCGCCGCTGGTCCTCCCGAGAAACCCTAGTCGCCTCCTCAGGGGCTCCAGGTTTTTCCGAGGAAAAATATACTAGGGCTTTAAACGTGCAATTTATATACTCGAAAAAAAGACATAGCAGAGGCAAGAACTTCGTCCGATGGAATACCGGTACAATACGAGAGGCCAGGTGCAGCGTGATGCGTACAGGCGCTGAGGCGCAGCCCACAATACGAAAGTCCCACGCACGGCAGCTCCGAGCATCCACCGGCCCATCTACCGCGCGTTCCGTTCCGCTCCGTACGTCGCCGGCCTCCGCTGATCGACCAGGCAGGGGCTGCATCATCCATGGAGGTGGTGGTGCGCACGGTGCCCGGCGGCCGGAGCTGCTTCGTCGCGCTCCCCCTCCCCGTCATCCAAGCCCTCGAGCGCACCGCCGCCGCCGGCTCCCTCCCCGCGGTCCTCGCCCTCGAGCTGCGCGGCCCCGACGGGGCGCGCTGGCGTCTCGCCTGGGCAGGCGCCGTCTCCGCCTCCGCCTCCCCAGATGCCGTCGAGGTAAACTAAAAGCCGCCACCTTTAATGTGCCTCCTTCCTCCCATCGCACGCACGTAGTGCCTAGAGAGGATGGAAAGTTTTGATTACAGTTTAGCTGTGATTCCCAGTGGAGCTTGAAATTCACTCTCCCTAAATCAAAATCGTGAGAAAAGATGCAAGCTTCAGAAATCCTTTCATCAATCAAACTCACAAACTGGTAATTTGGTAGTGGCTGAACTGACGATGCTGCATGTTAGTTTATATTCTGACAAGTGGCTGAATTTTTGAAATATGAATGGTTCAGAATTCGAAGGTATTTGGTACTGTATATGTTTATCATCTTCGCATCGAACGGTTTCGGTGTGTGCTTGTTATTTGTGCAAAGCATGCAAATCCCAGAAAATCGAATTTCATGGATGGTAAAGAATTTGAAATTCTGAATTGCCAGCAATGTTCACTCACATTCTTATTTCTAGGTTTCTCAACAATTTGCTGCATGCATTTCGCTACCTGACAGTACGAAAGCATCACTGAGTGCTATTTCTGTGTTGCCAAAAGCCAAATTTGTATCTGTGGAGCCAATAAGTGAGGAGGACTGGGAAGTATTGGAGCTTAACTCAGAGTTGGCAGAAGAGGCCATTTTGAAACAGGTAACAGCGTGTTGGTCGGCGCATCTTAACCATTCAATTATCACCAAATCAACATTACGATAAAATACTGATGAACATTTCTTTCGAGGAAGACAAGATGAACATTTAGATTGTTGGTCGACGGTATTGCTCCATAAAAAGTTCTGTAGTGATAAATCGACAAAATTTATTAGTTCTGTTCCTCAAAAAAGAAAAAAAATCTGATGCCATTGCAAACTTACGTACGAAATATTACATACATGGAAGCATGCTTTTTATTAGTTTTTCATTAATCAGGCTAGTCTAGTTTTACATGTGCTGCATCCTATGTAAAAAATCATAAATTGTTAGGCTGCCCATATATCTGCATCTAAAGCTTTCGTTTTCTTCTTCTTAACTTTTTAATGCTTGATTGGTTTTTAATGTAGGTTGGTATTATTTATGATGGTATGAAATTTCCCTTATGGTTGCATGGCCATAATGTTGTGGAATTTCTTGGTATTTCAGCATCACCTAGTAACTCAATAGGTGAGTCCAATCAACTAATTATCCATCATTTTTAATGCATGCTAACCTTTTTGTTCCCTATTTTGTTTTCTTAGTTCAACTTGTTCCTGGAACTGAAGTTGCTGTTGCACCAAAGAAACGAAAAGGCGATGCAAATTCTATTGAGTGTGCCCCTAAACAAGATTTACTCAAAGCACAGCCCCATAAAAAGGCACTCCTCCGTGTTCAGGAAGCAGGAGGGAAATATGTAGATCGATTTGAATATAATGGAATTCAACTGGGTGTGTTTGTTACATATGCTGTACAGATTCACCCAGATACTGCTGTAAAATTGTCTCTCAGTAATCTTCAGTTGGTGAGTATCACCCCTAAATTCTCTCCAAAGGATAGTACAGAAAATGGAAAAGGATCTGATCAGCAGATCAAGGGTTCAGTGCCTGGTATGAAGAAGAATAGGCACATTGTTGTGCACATCATATTATCAGATTCTGTTGCTAAAGAACATATTATGCTTCCTCAATCCATCCGCTGTTACATTGGAACATGTGTTCATGCATGTAAGTATCTTTCAGATCCTGACATAATGTGCTACACCCATTCTTTTTTGTAGAACATAATGATCATTTAATATGTGTAGCAGATTATGATTTCCTGATACATCTACTGTTTCATTTAAATAGGATGATATTTGTTTTCTTGTTTCTGTTTTTTGTAAATAAAATATAATGTTATAACTATATATGTGAGGCATATCGTTCTTCCCAAATCTATCCCCTGTTTCATTGGTTTAGTACAAAAATCAAGAAATGGAGAACAGTATTCATTCATATAACTTTATTTTAAATCCTGATATCTATTTCCAATCTCTTTTTAATTATATAGTGGATATATCTGTGATTTATGAGGTAAGTAATGCAGTTGTATGTTTTTCGATCAAAATTGTCTTTTCATTGGTTTACTTCTTTTGTTTTGGTTATTATGATTTCATTAGTAAGGTGTGTTGTGTTCTGTGCACTCCATAATTGCAAAAGAAAAGTAAGCACCACTCTCAAAGGCCTTAATTTTTAGTTAAAAGTCCGAAAGAGTTTGTACAAGCAGTAAAAACTGCTTTACCCTACAATATTGCTGCAATACAAGTCAAATGGTATTTCTATGTGCAACATAAATGAAAATAAGCAGACAAAGTAACAACACAATTTAGCAGAACACTCTCCTGGCATTTCTAAACTTTTTTTAGTGGAAATGTGCTAACGAATGAAGTTTATTTGTAGGGGTTTATGTGCAGAGATTCTCACCCACTGTAAATAAGAATACACCGTCAATAACAATTCGTCCACTCCACTTTAAGATGCTGGAGAGAAATTCTGATAATAACAGTGCATTAGACTGTCAAGAACAGGATATTTTCCCAACGCTGGGTGAGATATCTTTAGCTGATGATCCTCTCGCGGATGATAACATCAGCATGTCGCGTGGGTTCAATGATATTACTGCAGCTGCAAATTGGGAGGAAAGTGTTAAACTGAAACAGGAGAGGTCTTTCATTAGATCATGGCTTATTGGGCAGCTAAAGGGAATCTCCTCTCACATTGCCCAACCTGAACTAAACACAGTGCTTCTGCCGTCTGAAACATTACTTCACTTTCAAGTGATTGATCAATCAAGAGGCGGTCCTGTTGACCTCATTTACCTCTTGACGACTACCTCTGATTTTGGTGTTAAGCACAAGAAAAATGAACTTGTCACAGCAACTGAGTATGGTATTGATAACTTTGAACAGGCTCTTCAGAAGTTGGAGTTGAATAAGGCTATATCCCTTGATTCAACAATGGAACGAGCAAGGAAATTCTTTGACAGAGGTCTTTCTTCTTTAAGTTGGCTGGAGAACGAATTTTCTGATATAGAAAAAAGTAAATCCTTTTTCAGACTTGCGTCCAACCTTTTATATGTCATAATTCATGCTCCTGATGACCATTATGCTACTAACAGTATCCACCATTTGACTGAATCTTGATGCACTTCTCTGTAGGGTTAAGTGTCCTTTTGTCTTCAGCATCTCTAAAATTATTGAGTAGAATAAAGTGTCCCTATCCAGGAAATGTTCTTGTATATGGCCCTCCAGTAAGCACACGTTCTTACCTCTTAAGATTAATTGAAATCTTATATGAATATGGTTCAAATATCTATTTTGCACTAGGGTTCTTCTGAAATGTCCTCATTTCTTCCTGTTCTTCCGTACTACTGTTTTATTTGTTACTTTTGTCTCATTTCAGGGTTCTGGGAAAACAACCTTATGCAAAGCTGTTGCAAGACACTTTGAAGAGCATAAAGAAATTCTGGCTCATGTGTAAGCAAATTACTCCCTCCGTTCCTAAATATTTGTCTTTCTAGAGATTTCAACAAGTGACTACATACGTAACAAAATGAGTGAATTTACACTCTAAAATATGTCTATATACATCCGTATGTGGTAACCATTTGAAATCTCTAGAAAGACAAATATTTAGGAACGGAGGGAGTAGTTGCCAATTTGTCCGACTTGGTTGTTTATGTTTTTGACCTTTGACTGCCAAGTGCCAAGTTGTTGGAATTCGCTCATAGTTGGCTAAGTGCAGTTACCTAAGTTATAGATCATCATAAAGTGACCTTCCTTTTCTTCTTTTACTCATATTTTTGAAGTTGAAGTGTATTCTCATGGAGCAAAGCATGGTATACTGTTGGTTAAGTTTTTCATTTTCTTTTATGGGAGAAAAATAATGGCGTAGTATTTCGTAGTGTTGATAGGAAGCGCCAGATGGTTTCTAGTTATCAGAATAAGTTGAGTAGTTGGCAATGAAGTAATTGCTGAGTGTAATTCAGTCAAAAAAAATTCAGGCCTTCTATTGCTTTGAAGTTGCTCTGTTTCTTTTGCAAAATTGTTTTACTTTTGGGCAAATGGATTGAGTGCTTATGTACTGATGAATAAAACATGTTAAGCCAAATATTTTGTTTAAACTGATTTTGTTTTCGAAGCTGTGGTGAACCTGAGTTAGGCGTCATTTAAGTTTTAAATAAATATGCTTCCATGGCACTAAATATTTCTTTACATGGTATTAATATGTGCTTGTTTTTTCATATGTAGGGTTTATGTAGACTGCTCAAAGCTAGCTACTGAGAAGAATAAGAAGCAGCTTCAGCAAATTGCAGACTATATCTATGAAGCTATTGTTCACTCCCCTTCAGTTGTAATATTCGATGATCTGGACAGTCTAATTTCATTCTCCCCGGACAACCTAAAATCTCAGTCGTCCAATTCTAGTGCTATTGTGAAATATTTGATAGACATGCTAGATGAGTACAGAGTAAGTCCGTCCCGAAGTTTCACACTCTCATTATCTATTTAATTTTCTGTGAGGAAACACCCATCAGCTCCAGGGACTCCTAAATTTCCATTGGATACAATAACACTTGTCATTGTACTGTATGTTACCGTTTTTTTTCACTAACGTGTCTCCATGCTCTGGTTAGGATAAAAGTCATGGCATGTGTGGGTATGGACCTGTTTCATTTCTGGCTTCAGCTAAGTCACTTAAGTGTCTTCCTCAAGAGTTGACTTCCTCAGGTTTTTCTCCCTTTCCTATTTCTCCGATCTTAAAGCTCAATCATCTTCTTTGAGAATACAAAGGAAATCTGTATATCATTTTTTTTCCCACTGGAGATCATTTCATTCATTAGACGAATCGTGAACACAGCAAGTTGCCTGTAGGCATGACAACTGAAGACAGTAGTTTAACAAATCCAAGATACAAGTTGATCCCTAACCTACTGCCCACCTAAGAGCAGCTATCTCTCTATCTCACATTTGAACAACCTGTCTAACGTTGCTGGGCCCGCCAACCTCCAAAGCCTGCATACTCTCTTGATCTCCACCATGAGTGCCATCTAAAATGCAGTCATATTGTGCTGCTTGCAGATCAGCCACATAGGGAGAGATTCTAATCGTTTAAAAGCCTTTTATGAAAAATTGTGAACACTCTAATCTTTATTGCAGGGAGATTTGATCTTCATGTCCAAGTTCCTGGTTTGTCTGTGTCTGCTCGTATAGAGATACTGAGGCAGACAATTGTCAAGCTTCACTTACTATGTTCTGCGGAAATCATCAGCAACATTGCTTCGAAATGTGATGGTTATGATGCATATGATTTGGTAATCTTATTTTTCCATAGTGATGCATTTCATGTTATGATTTTTTTATGAAGAGTCATTTATTTCTCGCTTGGGATGTTTTGGCATTTGGAGTCTGTCATAAGAAAAAATCAAATTTGGTTACTTGTTTTCAGCAACTTAATCTTTTGGGTGTATTAGTTACTGCGTAAAACTTTGTATGGTACCATAGACAGATTTCCTAACGGTTGGAACCTGGCTAAGATTTCGAGTTCACATCATAGACCTGATGGAGCAAAGACATAACAGGAGCATGCTTCTGTTTTATTCTACACTTGTGCTCAGGGTTATTTTTTATTCTTTCTTGTATTTTTTAGTTCTGATCATGCCTTATGTACTCCTGTATTGTAGGAAATCTTGGTTGATAACGCTGTGCTTGCTGCTTCGGATCGTTTGCTTGGGTCTTCTACTGTAAATCTGGTGGAGGAAGACTTCCTGAAAGCCATGAGGAATTTTTCTCCTGTTGCGATGCGTGATATTAGTAAATTTTCGCCTGAAATTAGCAATGGATGGGAAGATGTCGGAGGACTTTCCGAAGTTGTAAATATTATTAAAGAGGTATGCACACATAATAATTCCAAATGTTGGAGGATTGTCTCATCAAACTCAAAGTTTCATGAACAGAGAGAATGAAATATTCCGTGTGTGTTGCTCAGGAGCTTCCTGCTTACCTTTTTCTCATTCTTCATTGCAGACTATTGAATTGCCACTAAAATATCCAAAGTTTTTTGCTGGGGCTCCTGTAAGGCTGCGATCGAACATCCTCCTGTATGGCCCAACAGGCTGTGGCAAAACCCATGTTGTGAAATCTGTAGCTGCTGCGTATTCTTTACGGTTCATTCCAATCAAGGGGCCAGAATTGATGAATATGTACATTGGTTCTACTGAGCAATATGTGAGAACCATCATTCTGAATTTGATTTTCTTTTTCTGAATCAACGGGCAGGTTGCAGTGGCCTAATTAGTTTACAGAAGCAAAAGAGTCAAACGATTTATCATTCCTTTTGCTCTGCCACTACTAGCATTTCACGATCCATTAGAGGTTTACCTTCCATAGTATGTTGCATTCGACCATAAGCTGTAAATCAGTAATAGATAAAATGCATTCTAAAAACTAAACAATGTATAACTGGGTTCTGATTTTGAGTTTTTTATGCATAGGTTCGTGATACATTTGCAAAGGCAGCTGCTGCAGCACCTTGTTTACTTTTCTTTGACGAATTCGAGTCTCTTGTACCACAGCGAGGAAAACATGGTACACAAGTTACTGATCGTGTTGTCAACCAGGTAAAATCAATGGAGGATCCTGCTTCTTAATAACATCCATGTTACCTAATTGGTTTGAAACAAAATGCGATTGCTTACTTGAATTACTTTTGTACCATTTGTGCAGTTTTTGACCGAATTAGATGGTGTAGAAGCTCTGACAGGAGTATTTGTATTTGCTGCCACCAAGTAAGTTACTGCAAAGGGTAACAGATGAATTATCTGCTACCAGTAAAAAAGAATACAAATTTTAAACCCTCCAAAATAATTTTTAGAAGAAAAAAAAAACAGTCATTTACCAGCAGGCAGGATTCGGCAGGTTTTCTTGAGTCTATACTATTACTATCTAACCATCCAAAACAGCACCATGATACCAAAATACTGCTCCCGTGGGAGGTTTGATCCTAGGCATGAATTTCCGGTCAATAGGGGCATAAAGTGCACACTTTGCTGAGTACCCCATTCATTTTCAAGTAGAAGTAACTTCCCCAAGTAAAGAGCCATATTGATTCTCTCACGCGTTGATTAGGAAATTGCTTCTGGCTACCTTTGTTTCCATTCTTCCCCCTTAACTCAAATTCTGCTATAGAAATCACACATGCTTGTGAAGAATAATTTTGGTTATTCCTTACAAATACAGCAAGCCGCGCGAAATTGATGCTGCACTATTACGACCTGGAAGATTTGATCGGCTTGTATTTTGCGACTTTCCGCAAAAGAATGAGCGTCTGGACATTCTCAGGGTGCTCTCCAAGGAGGTAAAATTTCTTCTGGAAAGTTACTTCTCTTATCACTTTATAGGTATGACATGGTGTGTTCAATTTGTTTTTCGTTCAACATGATGAGAATAAACTTGAGATCTGCCTCTGTGGGTTGGGTGGTGACATATATGCTCCTGTTTACATAATTGGAAATACGCCCTATGAGAAGAAACTTTGGCAAGGATTGTCATTCTGACCGCTGGCAGAACTGTGGACATTGTTTCAGCTTCCTCTGGCAAGCGACGCCGATCTGGAACTTGTCGCATCAATGACGGAAGGGTTCAGCGGTGCCGATCTCAAAGCTATACTCACGGACGCTGGGCTGGAAGCCGCCAAGGAGGCTGTGCGATGCCAACCCGGAGACAGTAGTGGTGATATCCCTCAAGAGCTGCCTCTTATCGCCAGGGGAACTCTCATGTCTGTTGCTTCAGAGGCTAGGCCATCGACCTCGGAGGAGGATAGGAGGAGCTTGAGGGAGATGTTCAGCCAATTCTCAACCTCTAGGAAATCTTCGATTTCCACCGAGGTGCCACCTTCTTTCTGCGCCTCCATGGCCTTTTCTTGCGGTCTTGTTGACTCATTTTTTCTTTTGTTGCTCTGCTTGCTGCTGTACTAAGATGGAATTTGTTTGTGTGATAGCAGAAGAGAAGGGAAGCAAATGGCCAGGGCCAGAGAGTAGCTGTAGCCGAGTCATGACAATTGGTTCATGTAAACTCTCTCTTGTAAACTGGCACCGTCGATCGCTAGTCTACCCGCAGGCCGGCCGGCGACTCCATCTCATCCGGCGTAGGGTGGGCGGTGATGACCTGGCGATGGTATTGAACACTAGCATGGAATTGATCCGACATGCCGTGTACCCCATCTCATTCAGGAGCATGGGGCCATGGGGTATTTACTTAGTTTGGAGCATGGGTTTTGTAAATTTTTGGAGTGCGGAGGCCTGGATGTATGGGGCATATTGGATGCACTGATGTACTAGATGACTGATTAACACCTTTAACGATGATTAAAAAATCCTGAATGTTTTTGACAAGATTGACACAACATACAATGTACCATGTCTCAAGAAATCCACATCCAAATTTGACTCACAGCTCAAGAAACATAGAGTGAATCCAGTGCTCATGGTCATGCATTACCCATAGAAAACAGGCGGCACCGGTGTTTCATTGTTGCACTTACGAGGAGCCGGTCCAAGAGCGGCTTCCGCGGAGTGTTTGTGGGGAAGGAAGGGACAACTGGGAGGCCTGAAGTGTGGGGGAGGACGGGAGAGAGAGGTGTGCTGGCGGTGAACAGTGGCTGACGAACATATGATATTGGAAGGGCCGGAGACCAAGGGGCGCCGGCAGCCTGGGTGGGCATGAGGTCGAGCCGCCGATGGGTTGGGCGGGCTCGAGGTCGATGGCACCGATGCAACCCACGACGGTGGCAAAGACACCATCACCGGGATTTGGAAAGAAGCACAAAGTGACGTAGGGGTGTGCTCCAGAGACGAGCTGAGGACCCTCGGTGGAAAGGAGGCAAGCATTTTTATATGCATATATACGGCGGTGGGTGGCGGGGTGCAAGAGGTGTAAAGAGTCTTCTAGAGGGAACTGGACATGCGGAGAGGGTGATAATAACCGCATCTCCAAAAAATCGCAAGGGCACACATAAATCACACACCACCATGTCGTCCGAAATACGCATGTCCCCTCCAGACAAACCGCCCTGGAGGCCCAATAAAATCCCAAAGGTCTGAGAAAAAAGAAAGCCCTATGAAAATAGGTTCTACGGTTATTATTAATACAAACCATAGAAAAAAATTGAATCCAATGTCTGTTGTTACAAAAGGAAGCAAATGGATTCATCACTCACATGAATGCCAATGTCTTTGCTCCGCTCCCCTCTGGGGTTATCACACTTGAACCATGAGTCAAGGGTAAACGTGACACCTTGAAAACTCAAAGGAGAAAAGGGATTCATCAAAAGACATTCAAACTCCTCGGTGTCATCAAATTGCCAACCGTCATGGTGAGAGCAACTCTAATCAATAGCCAAACGCGTCCAACCCAAAAAAGTGTCCTTTTCCTTTAACCCTGTCTAATTGATGCCCAAAAGGCATCTCTACCCCACCAAGCAGAACCAACATGTTCCACCATGGCTTAAATAAGCCTCACTCTGGGTAGATCTTTGGACGGAGAAGGTAATCTCCGGACCTCTCTTGATTCCTTAACAATATGATGGTTGAAGGCTATCAATTGACCCCTATCATCTAGGAGACGCACACCCTCCAAAAGTAACAAAATAAGAAGCAAAGTCATTTGGTACAACTCCTCAAAAGATACTTAAACAAAGTACTTCTCAAGAACCCAAAAGTAACAAGTAAAGCAAAGTCAGTTGGTAGAACTCCTCAAAGTACTCCTCCCTCACAAATGATACAAATGTTGTAAGAAGATAGGAACACATAGCTTACGGAAAACATAGGAGTAGAGTAGCTAAAGTGGATTCTTTTGAGGACTTTGACTTTAAACAACATCTTGAAAAGTTGGAGGTAGTGGTCAGTCACAATTGATATTCATTCAAAACATGATGACTATTTTTCTTGAAATAAACTTAAGAATGTTAGCCCCCTCACTTGGTTTATCATTAAACACCAAAATCCAATAAGGGTATCTATATGAACTTTCATGGCTCCCAACAATCATCTGCGATTCCACCGCCGTCGATTTTTCTGCCTCCTCTGCATCTATCCACAATTACCCTCGTATTAAAACCATCCCTACTTAATGAGCCTGCTGCCGATGGTGTGCCACATCTCCACTGTACCAATGTTGTGTGCGCAGGCGTTGTCGATCTCTGTCGCGATTCTCCCATCATCGAGCTCAACAACGAGGACCTGAGTTCGACCCCCTCTCACCTAATATGAGCAACTCAAGCATAAGCTAGAGGAGGAGAGCATTGCCATATTCACCTCTGCCAAAGACTATTGTGCATAGCTCGTCCTCCACAAGCAACATGACATCGAGAAGCACCGTGCAATCGAGGCCTCCCATGCCTATTATCACCGAGAGCGTGTGGCCCATGAGCAACACGCTACCAGCGAGCGCCATGCAATAAAGGTCTCGTAAAAGAGCTCACCTACTGCAAGCACCGAGCCGCGTACGAGGCACCACATAGCCCACGACCAGGCATGCTTGGGAGGAGCTGCAAGAGGACATTGTTGTCGACGAGGCAACACATGAGATACTAGTGTCCGCTGAAGATTTCATCGATATTTCATCTGACGACGAGTCCTAGTAGGTGAAACAGTTTTAAGTTTTTGCATATAGTTGTGTGCCATAGTATGAACTATGAAGGCTTGACTTTTGTGATGTTCAATTAGGTTTTAGTTATGTTTATCTTAGTCTTAACTTTTATTTGAGCTCTGTTAAATTATGTACCTTAACTTATGAAGTTGGAAGTCAAGTTTAATTATGAAGTGTATGGACAAAATAGGGGAATAGCTTTTCAAGATGTGCTTTTGGGGTTAATGTTTTGGGCATCAATTAGAAACCACCCTCCCCGACTCCCCGTAACCATGATTTTTGTGGAGTTCAGTTTTGGGGTGGCATTTTGGAATTTGTTTTGGCTATGAGTAGAGTTGATCTGAGGTGCTCCATATTGGATGGAAACAAGGGAGAAACTCGAATCTTGAGCCACGCATGTTAGATGAGCTTAATCATGTACTCCCTCCGTTCCTAAATATTTGTCTTTCTAGAGATTTCAACACAAGTGACTACATACTGAGCAAAATGAGTGAATGTACACTCTAAAATATGTCTATATACATTCGTATGTGGTAGTTCATTCGAAATCTCTAAAAAGACAAATATTTAAAAACAGAGGGAGTATTCGCTAAAGGAGAAACATATATTCTCATGAATACCCAAATCAAGCACTTGCAGAAGGCAAAGTTAACTTGGTACCCCATGTCCGAAAACCAAGATAGTGTAGATGATTTAAACAACCAATAGATTGTGGAAAAAACAATCACGATAATTGTGCAAGTCCCAAAGATCTGTAACCGAGGTTTATACATTTAGTCAAGTTTATGTTTGATTAAAGTGCGGAAAGGTGACAAACATATGGAAGGACTTCTCTTGTTCAGCTATTCATAATAAGTTTCAGAAGTGTTGTCCTTTAGTTCGAACAGAGGGAGTATTTAGGTAGTAGTAGTAACAAGGGAAAAAAAATTACTGCCCTCACGCAGGATCGAACTACGGACCTTCAGTTTACAAGACTGACGCTCTACCACTGAGCTATAAGGGCTGTTTTTGTTTACCTTTGGTATACGTTTTATACGTTAGCAATATATCAACGTCATTTTCTACTGAATTGATCATTATTTAATGTGACATAAGACGTAACAATTACTACGTACTACGGACCTTCATTTTACAAGACTGGCGTTCTACCACTGAGCTATAAGGGCTGTTTTGATTATCTTTGGTATACATTTTATAAATTAGTAAGATATCAACGGACGCGGATTTTTGGGACATGGTTCCACGCGAGGAGCATATCCAATCCGTATGTTTGTGCTTTGAGATCTGTATTTAATATAGCTTTATTTTCAATACATGATAGACATGGGCTATACGACAGTGAATACAAATGTGAATACTAAGTCTCATGGTCCCTGGCTCATCATAGCTAACAAACGCGTGAAGTGTGTTCATTGCGTTGCAGACATGTATCAATGCGTGCACACCACCCATTTTATGGCACTTATGAATTGTGATTAGGTGGACAGACCTCCATTTATATGTCACTCATCAATAGGCAGATGAATAAATGAAATGCTGACACAACAAGCTTTATTCATAATGACGGTTCCAAGACAAACAGAATGGTATACTGTAATTAGCCTTAACTGTTGATACATAGGTAATAACTGGCGCATTGATTAAATAGACCTTTCATACGATTAGCCTTAATGTGTCGACTAATACAATACTAGTGTAGTAGATAGAGCAGATTTGCAATCAACCAAAGCAGTGAAATAAAAACTCATTCACTCATATCGGTGAGGTATCAATATTCTCTATAGGTCGTGTACACATATTTTTACTTTCCAATAAATTTTTGCCTGATTTTTTTATTTAGTGGCGCACTGACTTTTTTCATGATTCGAGTTAACTAGCATGAAGAATGATGTTCAACTGATTATTTTTGGGTAAGAAATTCGTACATATAAGGATTTTAGTTGTAAATCAGTAGTCTAAAACATGTGATGAAACTAAATACTCCAAATTAAACAATGCTGGGTGGAGAGAGCCGGTGTGATTATTGCCAGTGTGCAGGCTTCCAATGTAGTACTTAACACTTAGCAGTTTGCACCTAATACACTATACCCACAGAAGAAAAAAAAATCACTATACCCACGTCTTCAACCTGGTGTTGCGAGAAAAGGCTGGCCATGGCATCAAGCTCCAGCTACGGCGAAAGGTTAGATGTTCGTTAATATTCACTACTCTGGAGAGACCTTTCCTAGGCTGGTTGAGATCCTAGTACAAAGCAGTAGCTTGCAATGTCCACCACCTAATTATGAACACGTTTGCTTAGTTAAGCCAATGCGTCATGACCTATTATTAGTTTAGTTGGCAGCTTGGTGCAAATAGCTCTCTCGTGCCAGGGAGCTACGTCGCACTGCCGTGTAATCAATTTTAGTCAAT